ATCCTCCGACTAATAATGTACAGATTGACAAAGTAAACATAAAATAAAATATAACCTCGTTCATTCCTCTCCGGTCTGAAAACCCATGAAAAGGCTATGCTTTAGCAGCCCCTTAAAAGCGAAATTGCTTGAAAGTTGCAATTTAGTGCCACGCCTCTTTCTCACCATCAACAAACAGCTCAATCGAAGATGCAAAGTGTTGATTTTAAAGATTTATTAACGAATCTGTGAAAGGCTACATGAATCATAGCTATTTTTTGAATCAAAGTTACAAGATGAGCACTTTAGTGCTGAGCCCCCTTCTTCTTTTACTTCTTTAGAAAGGGTTTACAAATGAGCTCCAAACCACCACTGAGTGGTCGAATCAGGTCCCTCGTTGCAGCGGAACTTTGGGTTGATGGTACCGTAATAACCAAAGTTGTCCTCGCTTGATACTGCGCCAGATCTTGGGTCAAACTGGCAGCCGGAACTACTGCTGTCAATGTGCCAAAACACAGAGGTACTCTGCCAGACACGTGCCGTCAGATGCATGCGCATGTGCCCGCGGATGTTCACGTATTCCACCTTCATGCACTTGCCAGACCCGGTAAAATCGACGACGTTGAAGTCCTTGAAGTTGCCACGGACGTAATCTCTGAAATCGACACCATAGGTTGGGTAGCTGCAAGTTGCCCGCCAGTGAGTGGAATGAGCTTGCAGTGACCTCATTCGTGCCAGGCTCAGGCGGTACAGATTCCAATTCTGGGCGTTCTCGTTCACTGGAGCGTTGCCGTTAAGGGGAACAGTGCGGAACTGAGATAGCGCACGATGCATGTTAGCCCAAGACATCACCAGTGTCCACGCTGTGCCAGGCTCGGACTTCAGATCACAGTAAGCAGGGTAACTGTTACCGGCAGTGTCGTAAAGTTTGTACATGCCACATTTGGAGTCACCTCGCGATAGATAATCAAGGCAGGAGGTAGGACGGAATGTGTCCTGCGCTTGATTCTTTGGTTTGGGACAGTTATCTCCCTGGAAATAGAAATGAACACATTTTATCATTCTGTGACTGGTGTCCCCTTTCTTTCCCGTTTGTCTGTGTTCCTTTTCCCGCAGTTTCTAAAGCACAAAACCTAGCCCGAGACGGACTATCTTTAAACAGTTTCTGCGAGTATCGTTTTTAGCTCAAGTTTTAATTAGCAATTCATTGCGAAACTATCTTGAGATAGAATATTTAACTTTCAGCTATTGTGACAGAAATGTCTTCAATAAAGAAGACGAAACTTTTAAAACACGTAACGGCTAACATAGTTTCATGATCAAAAAAAGAAATATCTTACCTTGCACCCCACAGTAAGAACCCTTTTTTGTAAGTTTTGATCGTCAGCATCAGCAATCGCCTAAAAAATAGTTACATTACCTTAGCTTTTAAGGCGGTCAAAATAATTAAGTCGAAGTTATTCTGTATAAGCTAGCGACATTTATTTCTCTTCTTCTCATTGTCTTGCAAACTGATCACACAGCGAAGAAGGGGCAAAAGGCCCAAAGCGGTAAAGCAGCTAAAGGACCTAGACTATAAATTTTCCTGTTACGGTGATTCTAACGCATCGACGCGACAAAACATCAGTTTTATCGTTTTAAAGTTACTACAGATTTTTTTCCTACCCAGAAATAAAGGATCTCACACTTTAGACTTCTCAGTTCTCGAGTCCCTGTATTGCAAGAAGAATCCTAAACGCTCTGGCATCACAATATCGGCGCTATTTTGTTACCGCAATTCTTGAAAGATGTGTCCGTAGAGATCACCTACCAACAGGATGCCACTTAAGGCCACGATCATCTTGAACGCCATAGTAGTGCGTAGGGAAGGTAGTGCGTAGGTAGGAAGAATTGTTTCAGAAAGGAACTACTTGTTTGTTGGGGCAGAGTAACCTGTTCAACAAGCCCTCTGACTTTCCTTAGAGAATGGATACCTGTACAAAAGGAGTAAACAAATGTAAAACACGAAACCGTCCCACGGATAACACGTTTCGCAAATGACCGAAGGGCACCACGAAAAGCACCATCAATCAAAATCATTCAAGTAATAAATTAAACACGAAAGACCGCGTTTGACCGCATTTCCAAACACCGAGAAGAGAGATGAAACTACGGCGCGTAGCGGGGTATTTTTGACAAACTTTGAGATGTTTGGAATTGTGGTCAACTCGGCCTTTAGTTTTTGATATACCTTCTTAAGCAAAGCTAAAACTGAAGAGAAAACTGAGAAATAAAATCGTAAACATCTCTGATAATTAAGATCAGATATCCAAACACCGTCACGGTCATAATTTCCTTTGTGAAGACTTGATGAATTATCAATGAGTTTGAGAATACTTTTGATAACATGACATTTTTATCGTTTTCTTTTACTTCCATACGTCTCTACGTCCTCACTTATATTCTATTACAAGAACAAGGTTCGGAAAATAAGGGTGTGGTTTGTGCCGCCTTGTAAAGAGCTCATCGTCTCTCACAAATACAGCACACTTTATCTAATTTGGATTGCTTTTCTCGTTAATTTTACCACAGCCATAAGTTCATTTCATCACCGTAGTAAATTGAAATTTATTCCACTGATATCAAGGTAGAAAACGTCGCACCACAATGGATTTTTCCGCTGGGACGGAATTATCATTGTAAGTCCAGCGAATAAATAATTTTGAAACAAACGGCTCGCCATATCAGAGAGCCCCAAAATCATTGGTTTTGAATGATAATTGTTTTGTTTGATCTGCGCGGCTGTTATGCAAATAAAAACGGTCTAGGCTTAGTTTTGCACTTCAGAACAAACTCCTTTTAACGCAAATATTAACTTTATAAAGGGAAAATGTAAACATCGGTTTACCTTGCAAATTCATTTCCTAGTTGTCTAAAGGCAAGAAATTCAGTTAGGTTAATAGAGGGCCTTATATAACTGCGTGTAAGAGGTCTTTGACGCCGACATTCAAGACAAGCAGGTCTGAGTTTCGAGCAATTCACCGCCTGAGACGGGAAAGGATAGATATTTTGTAAGTCGTTCCAGCATTACTGTGCTGTATCATGTTTGTTTAACTAATGACACGCGCACATCGCGAAAACTGCATAATGTGACGTGATGTTCACGGAGCTAATTATCTCTGTAGCTTAGGTCATACCGTTTTAACGACGAAAAACTCAAGTAAACTCCACATTCTCCATATCAACCTAGTCGAATTTCACAATTCCTCTACCCTCTGTTTCAAGCAAAACACTGGGAGCGTGCATCGTACGCTGCCAATTCTACCTTGATATTAATTAACTACCGTGATCAAATAATCGCAACAATCACTGCAGCAACGACTAGGTAAAGGCATAAATTAGTTCCATGTAAAACGCTTGGACTCCGTCGTCCCTTCTTGTCGATCCTTCCCCGTCCGTTACTACCGAATAGCCTTGAATCGAGAATGTACACGTTGTTTTGAAACTAAAGCAAGTTATTTGAGATCCTGCCTGACCAGTGCTTCGTCTTTGTCTGAACTTCTATGAGCACGAAATGTTAATTGACAGCCAATCCCTGGAGGCAATTTTGCTCATATTTTTTCTACTGCTTTTTTAAACAACCATCAACAGCCCGCTTCGGATTAGTTTCATCAGTTTTTAACAGCAAAAGAACTTTAAAAACAACCATCAGATTATCGATGGGGTGCATTCAACTAAATGAGAAGTAAGTCTCTTGACCGAACATTGGGCGAATTTACCGCTTAACATTTTTAAAACGAAAGCCGTTGCACTTTCAAAACCAGCAGCCGATGTTATTGTTCTCAAATTCTTTATCAGCAAAATTTTTCACTGCCGCAAGAGATTCGAATGGCCGTCAAACTTTCGACCGGATGAATTTAACGTTAGTCCAGGCTCTGGGTAAAACACGTGACGTATCAAACTATAAATGAATGCATCAATGCGATGCATCCGTTGTGATTTTGCCCATACAAAAAAATATAATTCAACGTTGTTGATGTTAAGTTCTCGGTAAATTCTCTTCGCCGCACGAGAATCGAATAATAATACCGTCAAACTGTCGATGGGAGTAATTCAATCAAATTAAAAACTAGCTTTTAGAAGAATATTCGACGTATAGAACTCTAAAGCCTGGTTTTCACTAGCGACACAAGCACAAGCGCAAGCACAAACGCAAGCAGTAGGGATGATCCAAGTGAAAACCAAATTCGACGCAAATACAAGCACAAGCAAAATCACCCGAACCTCCCAAACCGTTTAAGCGAGGTAATCTGGATCCAGTGTTTTCATCGGCCAAACATAACCACGTGTGGTAAATATCCTTGCACTTGTGTCATTCCTAAGCGGCATTTTGTTTTCACTTGTTACAGCGCAAATGCAAGCATAAGCGCAAGAACAAGAAAAAGGAAAAATTTTGATCCTTGTACTTATGCTTGTGCTTATACCTGCGTCAAGGCCGTTTTCACGGTGAAATAAGAATTATTGTGCTTGCGCTTGTGCTTGACCTTGCGTCGCTGGGGAAAACCAGGCTTAAACGAATGAGTAAGGACCTTCGTTGTGATTTTGTCGGCGAATGAAAAAATTACATATAATTCTATGTACGGTCCATTTCTTGTTATGGTCGGTCGTATTCTAGCAAATTTTTCACCGTCACAAATTCCAAAGACTGTCCAACTGTCGACGGGAAAAATTAATATTTATGCCCCCTTCCATCGAGTGGTTTTCGATCATATTGACTACACGACCGATTTAAGCCAACAGTCGAGCTCTGTTTGCTAGAGCGCTTAAAATAACGA